AAATGATCCAAGGCACCCTAATGATGGTCATATTAAATGGGAAATCTCAATCAAAGGGGTCTATTCCAAATAATTCAAAATGCCAACCCAAATGTCACCAAAATAAAAAATCCAAAAAAAAACATAATTCTAAATATTTAAATTTGAAATTCAACACTATCAAATCACTTAAAGTAAAATCCATTTACCCATCGCAACGAATTGCCAAGGTACACAAATTGAAATTTATTTCAACTTAAATAGAGCGAATTCCTAGTCAAAAATATTACTATGATCCATTCTCAAATAATTTTCTACTAGTAAGGATGTGGTACGTATCCTTTGATTGGAATTTTAGCTGCCAAATGGCACCGCAGGATAAACTGTTATGACCTAGGGCCCTCTGAACTGAGTGACTTTGCCACCAAATGGCACCACGAAATATCGGTTATGATCAGAGCCAATACGCTTCTTAGTGGTATCAAATCCTTGAGATATTAATCAATAAGCTATGATCAATAGGGCATAAAGCCCTCTATTAGCTAAAGTGGATTCAAATTTATCCCCTTAGACAAACATTAAACCCAGGTCTAGACAAAGTAATCCATGGCTTTCGACAAGGATCCTTCTATTAGGTTGGATCGATTACCTCCTCTGACTCAGTAGACTAGAAACCACTTTGGCCCGGGACGACAGAGCCATGGGATCTTGATTGGGTCCAACATCCATTCCCCACCATCCGCTTTAAGTGTAAGGTGGTGAAATTTCTAAATTTTAAATATCAATTCTCTAACTATTCTAAAAACCCATACTACTACTATACAAATGATACTATATGTCTACGAATACTATATATCTAATTGATAACTAGCCATAATCAAAAGTTATCTATTGTAATTGGGAGGGCTAATTAACTATAGGGACTTGTGCCTATAGGAAACGAGAACTCAGATCATAAAATCCTCGCAAAATGAGGGAAAAATCTCTAGGTAGTGTGTTTTCTACAAAAATATATGCCTTCCCAAAATTTACCCCGAAACTTATTTATGCTAAAACTCCCCTTGAAGAAAACACAACGGGTGGAGGCCGGGGCAAAATTTTTGAAGCGCACACTAGCATTAGTCTTGTTGACTATTACTAATATTATGGATGATAATGTAATCGAATGAGATATGTAAAATTATAGAAGATTAAATTGATATAGATAATTAGTATAGGGAGTTATGCATATATTTTCTTATGTAATTTATAGCATATTATTCTCTTTTATCTTGCATTGATTTCAACTGTAAGATTTTAGTTACTTAATGAGCTATATTCTCAGTATATAATTTTACAAGTTTTTAAAAAAGGATAAGGATTTTATAATATGAGGCTGCAAATAAGGAAAAAGTGTAATTATTATTTTTTATTTATTGGTAAAATCTAGATAAAGGTTTATAATGGAAGATATAAGTAATTCTTTTAATATAAATCTTTGAGTGTAACAAAACGGTATTCGAGTAATAGTTATTAGAAGAATTAAAATATAACTAGTGCTTATGAGTAGAATAGAAATGAAAGTGATTTATAATTTACAATTAGTTAATTTAAGTTTGAAATTTTATTTTAAACTTGCTCTCTCTCTCTCTCTCTCTCATGGATATAACAATATTTAGGATGATATTTTTTTTTTAAGGTTAGAAGATTATAATAATTCAAATATGTGAAATAAATTTATTTGAAAAATATGAAATTTTTGAAGTTGAATGATTTGGCATTGATCTACTGAGCATTGTGCAGCTATATTATGAACAACATTTATATACATATATATTTTAAAATATCATTTCCTCAGCCCACCAACTAATTTATTTCTTCTATTTTCAATTATTTTGATTTCTACAAATTTTATCCTTCCTAAATTTTTATTAAAAATATATTATCTCCGATTTCACAAGCTTTTACTATGCAAGTTTGGATATGTTATAAATTTGATCATTGTGAATGATTTAATAAAAATTTTATTATATTTTAAATGAAATACTAAATGATATCAGATGCATGATATAATAACCCCATGCGATACCATATTGATCGACATGATTCACTAATTGAGAGTCAAAAGAAGCTGGAGATTGATTAGCAGTTATAAGAAATCTGGGTGATTGATTCACGTGATTTAAGGAGAGCTATAAGGAGTATATTTTTTTAGAGTTATAAGAGGCAACTAATTGAGAGTCATTAGTGCAGTAGCAAGATACACTTATTGAATATTTAAATATTTGTACTCATACTGTTGTGAATATTATACAAATATTAAAACTGTCACTAATTATATTTAGTATTATTAACTCTATTTAATATTATTGATCATGATATTAATTTTATTACTAGTATTTGTACTATTAATTATTATTGATATTATGAATGATAATATAATAGATTGAGATGTGATGAACTATAAAATGCTAAATTTATACAGATAATCATAATTGAAATTAATGCATATATTTTCTCGTATGATTTATAGTATATTATTCTCTTTTATATTGCATTGATTTCAGTTGAAAGATTTTTGTTACTTGCTGAGTTAGGTGATCATTATGTGGTTTTAAATATTTTTAGGAAAGCATAAGGATGCTACGATATGAGGTTCTGAACAAAACAAAAATGTAATCATATTTTTCTAGTATTCATTAGTATGCTATAACTAAATTATTAAAAAGTAAGACATATAATTCTTTCAATATAAGTTATGGAGTTTGACAGGAGGAACCATAGTTGGCGCACTATGGAGGTCAGAAGAGTCATAGTTGGCGACCAATGGTGGTAAGAGGAATAATAGTCAGTAGGCAATAGAGGTTAGAGGGACCATATTAGATGAGAGATAATGTTCAGAGGGACTATAGTTGATCGATGATTGTGGTCAAAAAATTTATAGTTGGTGGGAAACGGAGGTTAGAGGGACCATAGTTGGTAGGTGATGAAAGTATGAGGAAATGTAGTAGGCCAACAATGGGGGTTAAATGGACTGATTGTACTCAGTGAGAGATAGTGATTAAAAGAACCATAGTCGACAAGTGATGAAAGTCAGAGGGGCTGAATTCAAGGAGTGACAGAGTTTGGAGATAATGTATTCGATTCGAGATGATGGTCGGAGGGATAGAGTTGGCGGGCGATGAAGGTCAAAGGGACCATTATCGATGGGCGATGGAGGCTAGATGAACCAAGTCGGTGAGCGATGATGGTTGAAGCATGGTGTTGATGGCAGCTCGATGGAGAACCGCCAATGGTTGGCTACGGGAGGAGGTTTGGAGACAATCGATTGGTGGGGGAAAGTCCGACGGTGTTCGACAGCCTAGCAATGGTCCAATGATGGTCAGACAGAAGTTTGGTGAGAAATCGAAGGCCAGGTGGAAGTCCGGAGGTGGTTGGTTTCCGGTTGGTAGTCTTATAATAGTTAGGGCAAAGTTCGGTGGTGGTCGACGACTGAGTCGATGTCCGATGATGGTGCTAAAGCTCTTTAAGCCTTAAAGATCTCTCCAATCTCCAACCAAAGGTCCCCCTCATGTAGACAGTGAAGGTCTATTTATATATTTTTGTTATATATAGAATATTTGGGGCAGGTTCAAAGTGCTCCATCAGATGGTCTGTATTGATTCCCCCTATCATAAAGTGTTATTAAGTGTTTAAGTTCATTATTAATTCAAAGATCTTGGGCTCATTGAATTTATGATGCAAAGTCGCTATATTCGACTATAAATATGTCAGATATGGATATCATTTTTTCATCCTATTAATGCTTTAAATCTTTCGAATAAGCTTAATACTCTTAATTTGGACCCATTTTGGGCTTGTATTGGACCATTTTTTGTGTCATTAGGTCCGTCTCTTCGATATATGTGGTTTAACTATAAGTTTGCTAAAATTATTCTGATGATCACAAATTTAATTTTGGAAGTTCAAAACTTTAATAAGATGGTTGAAGTGGAGGAATGCTTTTTGTTAAGTGATAGCAAAGTACCACTCAAACTTAAGGGAAATTTGTATAGCATTAAGTTAAGTGTTGTTGAGATGAGGATGGTCAGGTGAATGAGTAGATTTACTCTTAGAGACATCATACAAAATGAGCATATTCTTGAAAAGGTTGGACTACCTTCAATGATAGATAGATTAGATTAGAGAGAGTCATCTTAGATGGTTTGGTTATATAAAAAGGTGGCCTTCCGATGACCTTGTTAGGAGAGTGAATGTGTTAGATTTGGCTTATGTTAAAAAATGTAGAGGTAGATCTAAAAAGACTTGATTAGATAATATAAGAAATGGTATTTCTTTATTAGATTTAAAGGGGAATTTGATTCTTAATAGAACGCAAAGGAGAAAAGGATTCATATACTCGACCCCACGAAGTGCAATAAAGGCTTGATGATGTTGTTGTCGTATAACTTTGATTTGCCTTGATATTCATTTACTAATGTTGAAATATTCACGTTAATATGTGGAGAGTTTCTTGTATTAGTAATAAATGAAAATATTATCTATCGTAGGTAAGTTGAAAAAAAAATTAATAGATAATATTCTTCTAGGTCAAAAAATTAAGAAGATAAAAATATCACATAACCTAATTCAATTGAAATGATTCCACTAAAAATTACGAGGCCTGTTGTTAAAAAATTGTCAAAATCCGCAAACATGATAAATTCTGGACACCAATTATAAAATCTTGCAGTTGAAACTAAAAAATCCAACCCCTAGGAGAAGTAACAATTATTACGTCCTCCGATCGGATGCAGAGGAACATCCGGTTGTAGGCAAAATCGCGCCTATACCGAGGTGTACCGAATTTTTTCAAAAAACTCGGTATACCTCGGTATAGGCGCAATTTTGTCTACAACCGGATGTTCCTCTACATCCTTACACCGGACGAAATAAAAGTTCCTAGGAGAAGATAGGCTGTCACCAAAGAATTCTATAGTAATATGGTCTTATTATTAAATAATAATAATAATCATATATATATATACTACGGCATCATTCACAAGAACTTGAAAGAATAATGAAGGAGAAACCTCAAACAGAGAACACCCCCAAATCTGCGATGTGAAAGCCTACCACACGGAGACCAGTCAAATCGGAGAGGATTCTTACGTATTTTTGAGCACTCAATTGGATAACATTTGCAGGGTCTGTTTCACATCTGAACGGCTGCATGTGAAAGAACTCTCGAAGAACTTGTCGGACCTCCGGTATGTTACTGGAAGCTCCGGCGAGCACGACCTCATCAACGGCTTCTTTCTCGATTCCGGCTTCCGTTAAGCACCTCATGATTCCGCTGCGCAGAAGGTTGAGATTCATCTCCACCAACGATGCACGACTGAGCGTTTCTATCACCTCCCTGCCTTGTAGATCAAACTTAAGCTCCACGGAATCCGAGCCCAAACAAAGGATGTTCTTGGCGCGCTCGCATTCCGTTCGGATGCCAATGAGAGCCTTGACGTCACTGGTGAAATCGAATTCGAGCTTCGACGAAAGCTCTGAAAGCATGACGTGGAAAAGTGGGCAGCCCAAGTCGGAAACGGCGGCCTTTACAATTAGATCTAAATCTTTGGTGATCAGAGAGATTTCAAGAATGCGATCACCGAGTTCGAATACGAGGACGGTTTTTGGTTCGGGTCTGAGAGAGTCGTCGTAATAGGCGGCGGCAAGAACCGGTCTTTCGATGAAAAACAGAGGGTGAGCTCCGGCAGCGGCGGCAGCGTCAGAGACTTGTGATTGATACACTGGGGTGTTGCTGCTGGCGGGGAGGATGAAAATGATATTATCGACTCCGCAGCCGGTGATGCTTTCCATGTCGGCTTTCTTTTCCTTGAAATGTACGGTACTGACTTGGGCGGGAGTAAGGAGCTTTTGCTCGTTATCGGCTTGGGTCGTCACGTAGTAGCGAGTGCCTTCGGGGGAGACATAACGCCTGAAAGGGTACAGGCGGCGGAGAAACCAGTCTTTTCCGGCGGCGGAGTGCAGGTGGACGACGCAGTTATCGGGACAGCGGTCCATGGCGGGTTTCTTGTTCTCGTCTTGCCTTCTGAGCTTCTTGGCTTCAGGAAAGACGAGGATTATATTATAGCGAGGCTTCTTCTTGGCTTCTCATTTTTTAAGTGGGAGCGTTGTTTTAGCGAGGGAATGCAACTTAAGGTTAATTTTGGAGCCTTTTCTATGGTTTTTAAATAGAATGGAGATTTATATTATAGCCGCTAATTCTTTTTCTATTTATATATTTAACATCTAATTTGTTAAATGTATTTATTTTTATAATACTTAATTATAAAAATATTACTAAATTGAAATATGTAAAACACATAACCTAAAATCCCACAAAACATCTCTAATAAAATTTTGTCATGAATGTACCTAAAAGAAAAACAGTAAAAATTGCAGCCCACTTTAAATCACATAAAACATCTCTAATAGGGTTTGGCTTTTTCTTAGTTAAAAATGATATGGTTGGCTTTTGCATAGCTCTGATGCCATCTATGCCTTTTTCTTTGTCAAAAATTACAAAGATGTCTACGCATTAATTAATAAAAAAAGGATACAATACCTTCAAGAATCAAGAGCTCTATAAAAATATAGCTTTTGAAGCAAAACCTAATAAGCCTATGATCCTATCTATTACAAGATTTAATAGAAAAAATCAGGGAGGCAAGAAGCCATTTCTCAAAAGAGGACCCCAATCTAGACATTCAATGATGCACCAAAAGGAAACTAGCAAAATAGCTTCCAACACATGGACATGTAGCTACACGGCTAGAAATAGAGACAAAACTAAATCAGGAAAACAATAATAAAAATGTACCTGAAAGTAGAACAGTCAAAATTGCAGCCCACAACCCACATTGATCCTCTAGTAGCAAACACCCTGCAAACAACTAGAAAAACCAATGATAACAAAGAACCAAGAAAACAAAAGATAAGGGAAAAAGCAAAGAACTCACAACAACAACCCACCAAGCCAATACAAACCAACACAAGAACAAGCCCAAACAAATAACCCTAGAAACAACCACCAGCAACATTATGAAAGACCACCAAACCCAAACCATCAAAGCATAACTGCCCAACACCATAGAAAAACCCAAAACCCCCATCATGACCAACCAAGCAAAGGAGAACACAACATAAGACAAACCCCAACACCAGGATATATAGAAAGCACCAAAAGGAAAAATATCATACCAAATAGCAAAAACAACCCGCAAATACGAGGAGAACAACAATAAAATAAGCACCACCAAAGATATAAGTAGAGGACATAAATCTACTAGAATATCCAACATAGTATTTAAAATTTAGCTAAAGATTCTTATTTTTTTCTTTTTCTTATTTTCTTTCCAAACAACACAGAAAAACCAGCATTATCAATTTTCAACACATTCAAATCAAGATCTTCCAAAAGTACATTAGAACACCCATCTCTAATTTCCCCATCATAGCTATTGATACCAAAAAAAATCATAAACCCAATATGTATGATCAAAAGCCTTGTTAACATAAACAGGGGAGGCACATAAGTTAATAACAGGGGCACAATTAGAAACAACCACTCATTCAATCATAAGAGCCGGGTCAAACCACATTTAAAAACCATGTTCAACAGATGCCAAAATCAAAATGTAACTATCAACATGCAGATCCACCATTTCAAGATGATCCAGGTTAATGAGCGAAGCAATATCAATGTCCTCGATAGAATTAGCATCATAATCAAGAGAAAAAGAGGTGTTAATCTCAGAGGTAGAGGGGAAAATCTATGGTTCCTTGGCTAAATTTACAATATTAGTTGGAAATTTCTGCTCATTCAAAACCAAGTTATTAGAACCCGGCTGCAACCAAAACAAGGTCAAAGTAGTCTAAGTAGGTTTAAACACAATAATCTTTCTCATTTGGGGGTAGAAGTGGAGTCATTCGTAATTTTTTGCGACCTCCTTCTCTACTATGAACAAAAAAGCTATGGAAATCTTCAAAAACAAAGATTCTAAAAAAAATCATTTTTCTCCAAACCAAGCCATAGTTAGTTGGGATAGTTTTTTTTGTAATGTCCAATTACATAAGAATACGAACTACCAATGGCTTGGAACCCATGGAAATGACATTATCCATTTGAATAGGATGACAAAATAAAGAACCCAGATCATGGACAACGCGATGAGAGAAAATGGGGACGAAGATATGGGAAGGAAATTAATCCAAGGAATAATCGAAGATTCCTCCAAAGCCATCGAAGCCTTTTTCTCCAATGAGCACCCAAGTGACTTCCTATCTTTTATTTATCGTTGAGGGTTTCATGAAGGCCAGAAATTACATCACTTATGAAAGTAAAAGAGTGCGTGGTAGTTTAGTAGAAAGATAATTTTTAATGTTAGACATGTAAATAGGCTAATTTTATGTCTTATGTTTGTGAATCTCAATCCCTTTATATTTTAATCTATAAAAATTGAAAATTCTTTTTTTAAAATATGAGTGCTATATTAATGTGTATGAATATTGTAAAATATATTACAATGGGATTAGAATTAAAATTATGACAAGATATTCTTACACAAAATTTTATAGCAATGGACTTAAAATCAATTAATTAGATTTATTTTGAGATTACTATAACACATATGCAACACAAATCTTAAAATAAGAACAATGGCTTTCATGTTCATCCTGATATAATCTATATCAAAGTATCCCTAACATATTTTTTTCCTATATACTATATATTAAAATAGAAAATAATGAATAATTGTATATACAATTTTAGTTAAGTTCACATAATTTTTTTTAGTAATTAAAAAATTTGTGGGGGAAATCAGCATGTCTATTATGATTCTTCATTTAATTTTATGGTTTTGAAAAAAAAAATCTTCTAGCTGGAAAAGTAATCCTAAAATAAAGTCATTCTTTTAAGTGCAATGGTCCATGCTAGGAATTGTTCCATTATCATTTTTATGTTCATTTCACAGTAAGAAAGCTAACAGGGTTATGGGCTAAAATGTTCTAGGAATAAGAAGTTATTATATAGAAAATTTCTTTGTTTTTTATAATTCAAGAGGGATGTGAGAAAACAAAGGAAAAAAAGTGTCAATTTCTTTATAAAAAAATAATCAATATGAGTTTTAAAGTCTTTGGACTACTTTAAGATAAATGTAATACATAAGTTACTTTTTTTTTTTGGTTAAAACCCACCGACGGGCTTACGCGTTAATAAGGGAAAAAATTACAGAAGTCCTTAAAGGGAATTCTAGCCCACTACCGCTCAAAGAACTACAATCAAAAATAGAAAGAAAACCTAAGAGTCCGAATTCCCTGCTAATCAAAATACAATGAGCACTAAAAACAATCTAATAACCCAAAAAATAAAACCATGGGAAGAGAAAAACAAAGACAGCTTAATCAACCAATCAGCACACGAACCCTGCACAAAACGAGCGCGATGCTCCAAAAACCTGCACACCAGGCAAGCAGAGGTACAAGAAAAGGATTAAGCCATCCAAACAAAAAAGCAAAAAACAAATAACACAAAGCAGCTGAGAAAAAAGAAACTCCCTAAACGAAAGAAGCAGCCAACCGAGGTTTGCTCCATCCAGCCACACCCAGCACAACCCCTCACCAGCAGGGCCAAAATGACAGCATAATGCAGCAGCTAAACGATGAATACAGCAGAACAACCACCAAGAAGAAGGCAGCAGAGAACAGCAAACCAAATACCACAACCAACAAACAGAGGAAGAAACACCCCAACAAGAAAATGCCGAAAATTAACCCAAAACATAGGGAACTTTCCTCATATCCAAATTGATCAAGCCTTGAATATGCACCGGAAGCTTAGTAAAGTTAAGATCAATAATTTTAGAAAACCTGATACCAAAGCGAGCCATGGCACTGGCAACAGCATTAATCTCAGTCTTAACCACATTATAAGAACATTCCAAAGAATTAGTTAAGACCATAACCTTTCTACGGATATAAAATAAGGCATGCCCACAACTAGTACCATCCACACCCAGCAAAACAGATTGATCAATGCTAATATTACTCTCAACAACCACATTACTAACATCCAGGCTAACACAGAGGGAAAGACCGTAAAGCACAGCCAACAAAAAACCTTCCAGATAATCAACCGCCCCAGACATCCCAGCAAAGACAACAATGAACATCCCTTCAGAATTCCTGATTAAGCCCCCAATACCCCACTTGGTCTCAACCAACACAGAATGAATATTCAGCTTAAAACAATTAGCATTGGGAGGATACCAATAAGAGAACCTATTAACCGGTGCAACATTACCAGCAATCCCGAAAATCGCAACAGAAGAGGTAATTTTGTCAAAACTTTTATAGGATAAAAGATTAGCCGAAAAAAGAGCAAAAATTTTATCCTTAATTCTCGCAATAATAGTAAGATGGTTCATCGCAACATTATTAAACCGAGAATCATTACGACCTAACCAAATAAACCAAATGATAAGAAGAGGAATAACATTACGGATATGCCCCTTCACTCTAACCATCCAAACCTCCAGCAAGGAAAACACAGAATAGGTAGGGCCACCACCATTAACATGAAAAATCTCCCCAAAGTAATTCTAAACCTTAACCGCAATAGGAGAAGAAATAAACACATGATGAATCGTCTCTAAGTTAGCACAACATTGACATTTAGAAGTAATAAGTAAACCTTTTTTCCTCAGCATATCATCAGTAGGAACAAAATTCTTAAGAACTCTCCAATTAAAGACATAAACCGTGGTCGGAATGCTCTTATGCCACATCATTTTAAAAGACTTAGAAGACAACTTAATATTACGAAACACATGCCAAGCTTGTTTGGTAGAGAAAAGAACATCTTTAGTAAATTTACAAAGCAAAGCATCTTTAGCACAACGATTAATAGAAATATTGGTAATCAAAGTGATAATGTAATCCGGAATAACAGTAGAAAGCTTTTCCACATCCCAACCATTACCAGAAAAGAAAAAATTAACTTTAACCGAACTCAAAGTATTAGAGGATAGGAGATCATCAATAGAGAAGCCATTAATCCACCGATCTTGCCAAAAGAAAATATTACCTTTCCCTAGACCCCAAGCAAGCCTAGGCTCAATGATCCACTTAACTTTAAGCATCCGCTGCCAAACTTGAGAATTACCATTAGAATAAAAACACATGGAGGGATGAGAATCCCCGCTGTACTTAGAAGTCCTAAAATTAGCCCATAACGAACTATTAACCCTTAAATTATACCATAATTTAAAAGAGAGAGCAGTAGCCATATCAAGCATAGACTTGCAACCAAGATCACCTTCCTGATAAGTACCACAACACTTGGACCAAGTCGACCAATGG